TCGTCTTAGACTGCATGGCGCCGTTTGAAGGAGCAGCTTTCATCATCTTCTCCAAATGTCAGTGATTTTTTTTAAACAGAAACAGTCGGCTGATTTCTTTTTCTTCTTTAAAGTGACAGATTTTTTTTGGAGACAGTCTTTTGAATTAGAAGAATGCACCACAGTGAAAATGAATCTCAGATCAGCACTCGTAAATACAAACAGACAAAGAGTTTAAGTTCAATAAAGGAACATTTCCTGCAAGAAATAAAGAAAGCATTATACATATTTTCAGTAAATATAGCTTTAATATTTTTCTGTCTTTTCTGAAGGTTTTAATTTATCCTAATATTGAAACATCTTTTCAAAAACTGCACTCCAATCATTTCAGTCCTTTTTTTGTTTTGTACTTCAGGAGAAACAGCTTGTACCGAGGACACCAAAGTCCTGTTTGAGTAATATTTCCATTAATTTTGAGTCTTCAGGAGTATTTCATACAAACTCTTACGGATGCATCATTTTAAAGACTCAATATTAAATAATTTTATTTTTCTGTTTACTTTGTCTGAGCAGAAACTTAAAGCGTGATCAGATGGAAACCTTCAAATCGGACTCAGTTTGATCCAATCAGAGACTGTTATGCATGAATGATTATCCAGCTATCTTAGTCATAACCAGGCTATGTTTAGTGCTTTATTCTGATTGATCAAAACTCCTTAACAACCCCTTGACAACAGTTAGAACTCCATAACGCAAAAGCAGCACCAGAGACAGGCAGATTACACTCATCTTATCGAATCAATGAGCTGGAAAGAGCATCGTCAGTTTCCATTAGCATGTTAACATATTAGGATAAACAACATGGGTATTTGGATCCTGTCCTGCAATCCAGGCAATGGCAGCAGATCTGGTGATAGCCTCTCTGATTTACCCAACTTTAACCCCAAGCTCTGAGAAGAAGGAGAGCTGAATGAGGACAAAAGTCAAGATTACCATTCTTGCTGAAGACCCGTCCACCTTGTCCGTTGCATGGATTGCAGGACAGGATCTTACCTTATTTTTCCCTCTCATGGGGCGCTCACACCATGCGCAAGAAAAATCATCTACTTACTTAATTTGTGCGTCAACAGTAATTTCAACGGTAATCCCGAATCAACTGTCGGGATCAAGTGACAGACAAAAGTTTTTTTTATAATTTACCAGATAATCCGACATCCTCACTCACTTGCCTCCAGGAGAGCTCCTTTTTATTCTGGTTTTGAAAATTGAAAGAAAAGGTATCATATAATTTTGTTTGTCCTCTATTTTAGATACCAGTGAACAACCGTCCGTCCACTGATTAGTTTTCACAACAGGAATATCTGCTCAAGTTGAGAAATTTTCAGCTCACGCCCAACTCGCGTCATTTGCGCCGCCAGAGTAGTATGTAATCGCGTCTTTGCATTGACTTAGCACGTAATTCATTCGCGCGAATGATTTTACTCGCGCTTGGTGTGTGGAGACAGTAAGAGATGGTAAGGGTCCAGTACCTCCTCAGGCTGCTCTCATATTTTGTAAATCCCCTTTTTTTCCAGACTCTGAAGACCAGCCTGAGACAGAAACTGGTGTTTCTGCCACAGTGTCGACAGGCTGAGTTAAAGCCAGATGACTTTACATGGAAAAATTCAGATTGATTTATGTTTTGGGGTTTTCTTTGTCACTGTTGATAATAAATCTGTGTTGTGATGGAGTTTTGACCAATCAGAATCAAATGTTTAACAGGATAATAAGACAATAATGTAAATACTTGAAAAACTGAACAGGGTTTGGTTGGTGGACCCTAGGAAGACTCGCTCCAGAGTGCAGCTTAAAGAGATCCCGACAAATAAACAATAAATAGTGACAGATCTAATTCTTTGTCTTTATGGGGTAAAGGATCCTCTCTTTACTCTCGAATGTTCAGCAGCATTTGGTCTCTGATTGTTACAGGACTTTCTTTGCTGCAAAAACACACGATCAGAAATTAAAACCAGGTGAAATAATTAACAACTAATCGGCTATTTGTCAGTTAAACTGTGACTAAAATAAAAGTAGTAATTTCTCAGAGTTGCATGGTGTAAAAACACCTGTGCAAAAGCTCCGGTCTAAATTGACTTCCCTTTCTGTGTCCTTTCTGTGTTGTGAATGAAAGGCTTTGTTTGGGGCAGTGCTTCTCTGCCTCACATTGCTGCTGTTTTATCTCCGCTGCCAGGTGGTTAATGGAAATTAATTGCATTCACTTTGCATCCCCAGAGTAAAATAGCCTCTGATTAAACAGCTAGAATGAAACCTGGCAGCGCTCTGGGCAGTGATGACCCGGCTGGGGAAGCTGCTGCTTTAAGAGCACACCGTCGTCTTGGTGGCTGTATTGCCAACATAAAGACTTCCAGTACGAGGTCCATCTTCCTCCTCGCTCAGCCAGACAGCCGGTATAATTAGATATTGATAGAAGGGCAGTAATTAATGATGAGACTGCCAGCAACATTATCTGCCTCGCAATTTCATCCCCACGTCCCGCGCTGATTGGGCCGGAGGGTGACCGAGACACAGCCAATCATTTGTCAAGTTCTCTGACCTGAATCTGTTGTAATGGAAACGAGACGAGCGGTGATGGAAACCGACAAAATTCTCTCTGCCGCCTTCGATCAATAGTTTCAAAATGGTGGCAAGCTGCAAGCCATTACAAGATGGATTACTGTAAATGTTTACCAGAGCGAGTCTGAATCCTATTTTAGAAAACATTTGTCTTGATTTTCACCTCTACTTAAAGAATATTACAGTTTTAATTATAGTATATAAAGATCCTGAATATATTTGTCTCCATTAATTATAACCAAAATAAAAATAAAACGTTTTTTTTAATCGAAATGTATGTTAATAAAATGAAGCTAAAGGCACAGTAAGGAGTTTTTGACTGATATCTCCTTATGACTTTAACAGAAAAATGACTTGTAACATTGGTTATATCTTTTTTTTGAATTTTAAAGATTGTGTTCAGGTTGGATTTTCTGTATGAAAAGCAGAGTTAATTGTCCAAGCTCGCCCTGAAATGTCTAGTTTTGTATGCTGGTGATAAAGTCTGACTGTAGATTAGAAAGCAGGAGGAGATTTTTTGCAGAGCGAATGAGTGAAATGGCTTTGAACAGGAATAAAATGAGACCTATTATGCTAATTTTAACCTTTCATTATGTCAGAAGTTTCTTGACTTCTTTAATAACACACTTTGAAGCAGTTAGGCACAGCTTGTGGGTGTTACTTTCTACACATCTTAGTAGTCATGAAAAGAAAGTAGAGATATACTTTCAGAGACCAGCCATTGGCGCCCATTTAACTCTCCATTTAGCCACTTAGCATACAATAACTATTGTTCTATTAGCTGCTGTCATATTGAGTCTTTATAAAAGGCCGATAATGGAGATATTGGCCTTATGAGGGCTGATGCAGATATGATGCTGATTCCTATGAAGTGGAACCAATCGGCTTGATCCATCAGTCTGTCTCTCACTGTAACATTATAGATAATACAGATAGATAGTATACATCTTTTTTAACTCTAAGTTTCTTTATCCTTTGATTTCTCTTTTTGTGTTTGTACTTATGCAGCGGCCATTTTGGAATTTCCCCCTGTGGGATGATTAAAGTAATATCTTATCTAATATTTTTATGTAGCTACAAGTCAATGCATTACATCATCAGTCAGTTTTCTTAAAACAACAAAAAGAATATCTTGATCGCATTTATTTGATTCTCCTGTGGGTAATGGGGCTTCTGGGAAATGCAGTCAAAACATGGCTGCCAGAATCAACATAAAAACTCCTTACTGTACCTTTTAATAAGTGTATCTTTTAAACAATTAAACATGATCTTATATCTTCCTACTTTTTAGTGTTTTTAATAAACAAAATAAAGCTGAAAATGTTGCACATATCATATATTTTTATGTATGCGAAGCCCGACCTTTAAACATTTCATGCATTCCCTTCCTATGACAACAACATGCCGTCCTTCGATGTTTATTATGTGAGACATCATCTCTGAAACCACGAATGTTACAAACCTTAAGTAAGGAAATGTGCTTCTTAACCAATCAGAAGAATTCAGCTTGTTTTTCCTCCTTTCAAGCTGAGCTATCCTGCAGATCTTCCCCGCCTCTGAGACATGTTTATGCTCTTTACTCCATTTACTGCTCTAGTTTTGTTTGTTTTTTTGGACTTTTACAAGTGGAAGTCAAAACCAACAGACTCTCTCTGTAAAAACATGAAGTTATAGAGACGTTTTAGGGCCTTTCACGAGTTTTTACAAGCTGCTAAAAGCAACTGAGAGACGTAATTGCACTCAGAAAGTTTGGTGGAAACAGGAGTGATTAATTATTTGGTGTGTTTGGACTGTGTTTATCTCTCGGCTGTGGACTGATGTTACTGCAGAAGAGAGAAAAAGAGAGAGAGAGAGAGAGAGAGGCAGACGTTTGATAAAAAGAGAGATGTGCAGTCCCATGAAAGATAGAAAAGCGAGTTTGTGTGTACATGTAAGGCAGGAAGGTGAATCAGCCTGTCCTCTGCCTGCAGGACTGTGTGTGTATGTGTGTGGCAGGTGTGTGTGAGTGAGTGATGGCTGTGTGTGTGAGCTGGGGTATGAGTGTGCAGCGGTGCGTGTAATGAACGCCATCGACTCCCCCTCTCCTCCCCTCTCCGCCTCCTCCTGATCCCCCAGCCTGCCACACTGCATCCTGTACATGACCACTCCCATCAGCACCACCCCGGCTCCCATTTACCCCCAACACACACACACACACACATGAACACACACACACACACTTACTTACACAGATGGCTGCTGCGTACAGTGCTTTGCTCCTAATCACGATCACATTTTCAGACAATCACACGGAGGCAGATCAGCTCGCTTTCTCTGAGTTTGAACCCGCAGCCGTTTGAATAATGTCTGGAGGCTGTTCACAGAAATGTATAATAATGATAAAGTGGATTTTAAGCACCTATCAGACTATCCAAGGGCAGCGTGCAGTTAAAAGAGGAAGAGCCGGGAACAGATGTGGGGCAGAGAGGAAGAGATCTTCCCTGAAATGTGGGATTCATATCACGCTTTGAAATCGGAGATGCTTTTAGTCGCTGATAAAAGCAGAGAGAGAAAGAGAGGGGAGAGGAGAGGGCTGCTGCTGCTGCTGCCGCTGCTGTTTGGTGGTTTTTTAGTGACAGGAGGGGAAGTGGAATCAGTGGATGACAGAAAAGAGACTCTTTTTTTTTTTTGGTCTCCTTTTTCTGGCTGCACTCATGTCTTATTATACTGATCATACAGTAAATGCAACCAGCCTCACATCGGCCCCCTTTGAGACATTAAGAATCTCTGACAGCTATAATCAAGAGCCTGATTTCCACCGGGGACGGCGAGGAGGAGGAGGAGGCAGGATTTATGTCAGGCTGCAGTCTGATTTAGTTCAACCAAGTTACTTCTTTTTTATTCAAACTCCAAAATTCACTCAGAGATGGAAACACAAAAAAGGGAAATACTGTAATTTAAAGGTGCATTGAGAAGAATTTAGTGAAATTTTATGTGGAGAAATGTTTCTATTACTTCACATTAAATTGAATATAACAATAGTTCCTTTTAAGATGACTTAGAAAACATTTTTTGTGTTTATGAAGTAGCAGGTCCTCACTCTGAAGGCTGCCATGTTTTCTACAGTAGCTCAGAAGGGACAAACTAGGAGTAATCACATGCATTTTGTTAAGTACTGTGGAGAACAGAGAGGACAGAGGGAGATCGGTTGTTGTTGTTTTATTTATGCAGATTAATTTGTATTGATTGAAGTTTTTGATCAATGGAGGATCAGACTAAAGGCTCATTTATGCTCGCCATACGTATGAAATGTACACGTCCGTTTCAAATGATGATTCCCTCACTGCCCAAATACTTCCATGCGTTCTTTACGTTGGCATGGATGTTAATTGTTACATCCACCAGGGGCAGGCTGGAGTCAAAAGTTTCTGACAATAACAAACAAAAGAAACATGGCGACTGTGGAGGAGCGAGTGATGATGTGTATTTTGCATAGGAGACAGAAACGGAGGCAGTGTTGGAGGAGGCGGCGGTCGGTCAGGCCTCTAAATTCCTCACGGTTGGAGGACGAAGAATTCTTTTCTCTAGTAGCACTGATGAGAGAAAAACTGACGGCGATCCTCAAAAAACCCCGCCATTGTCTTCTTTGTTTTCTCTAGAGATGCGTATCGGGTAGTGACAGTAGCGACACTGCCCCCACGGTTTCCAGTGCTACTGCTCCATCTGGCCTGTATCCGAAAACTTCAAGGATACGTGCAGAAATATGGACAAAAAGAACACAAAGCACGGACAGAGAGCGCCGTATGTAACATTGAGCATAAATGAGCATTTATCCTGCTTAACTGGAGCGTGAATCTGAATTTTGTCCAAAAACTGAAAAACATAAATGAGTAAAATAAGACTGTGACAGGTGACGACAGAAAATAAAGGTTAACATCGGTGTGTTCACTCTTTATGTTTTAAGAGCTGTCAGTTTAAGAAAGTTAAATCACTGTAAGTTACATTAGTTTATTTAAAAATTGATGTTAATTATCTCAGAGATCTTGCTGATGTTTCCTCAGAATGACAAAAGTCAAATATAAGGAGATGTTGTGACAATGACTCCTCATTTACTTAATTTCGCTGACAGTTACACAACTCATTCTCCTTAAACTCACTACAATACTCAGAGTTAACCAATGATCACTCATAACTGTCACAGGTGCAGAGTTAAACAAAGAACCCAAAAATGCAGAACGAAGGATTTATTAAAGCGAAAAGTAAAAGTCCAACTAAAATATTCTCTCAAAATGTTCAAATAAACTGGGAAAAAAAACCACAAGGAGACACAAGCATACGCTGACATTAACATACACAGACACACAATGAACCAACAAAGACAGAGGGTAAGACAGGAACTATATAAACACTAGGAAACAGGCAACAGGTGAGGCAGACGAGACACAGGTGAGACTCATGGGTGATCAAGAAAGGAGAGAAAACTATGGAAGTAAAACCAGATTAGAAACAAAAGGAATCAACTCCTACAAAATAAAACAGGAAATAAACATTGAAAACTGATCTAAAGAATAAAACAGAGAGAACAGGAGGGAAACAGTCAAACAGTCTTTTGAAAACTCACAAGACTGGACGACAGGAACACTAGAAAAAACACACAAAATGCACTTACATAAAACCAGAAGAAAACTAAATAAACAGAATCTATGACCTTTATCGCAGCCAGTCAGTAGGGGGAGCTCTAAAAGTTACTGTTTCACTCTGTCATCCCTCTATTTTGTAAACTGGTCTGGATTTCCTTTAATATATTTTTGCCACTTTTTGACTATGAGAGGTGAAGACTGATGGGGGAATAAACAGGAACAGCGAGGATGAATGACACGCCGCCTAAAGCGATGGTTTGTTATTGAACCCTCGTGACAGAGATAAGGATTCAGCCTCAGGGGACTCGATCTATCACAGGATCCAGTGGAGTCCCCGGAGAGGTGTTGGTTTTGTCCCACAGCGAGTGATTCTTTCGACATGTCAAGACCGACAGCAGATAATATACGAACTTACAATATGACATTGAGAGGAAATGTAAACACTGTTTTTTAAAATATGTGATTTGATGTTATAAAACTTCCTTTCAGCTCTTGATTTAGCAGTCCAGTCAGCTGACTGATGGGGTAAAAAGATGCTGACGGGCATAATCTTGTTCTATTTGTAGACTCAGTGAATTAATTGGATTTATTTCCCACCTACTTGGATGTTATTACAGCTGTAATATTTTGTGGGTGAATTAATTGCAAAGTCTATTCAAATTTCGCTATAGGGGCGACAGTAGGGCGAAGTTATTCATTATAAGTCCAGTTAAGTGAGTTTCCACCCTTATGCATTTATCTGTTTTTTGATTGGTCGAAATCAAACAACCAATCAGAGTTGAGTTGAGCTGGAAAAAGCCTGATGTCTGCAGTGATGGGAAGAACAGTTCTGTAGACTGTACTGAATCTGATTACCAGACATGGAAGGAAGAGCGCCCCTGACTTAGTAACTTAGAGACTCATGCTGCGTTCCAGTTTTACTCCGAAGTTGGGATTTCTGAGCTCCGAGTCGGTAATTTATCTGGAACGCCCCCCACTTGAAAAGTCGGACGACCCTTACCAACCCAAACTTGATGACGTCATAATCCAAGATGGCAGCACAGTGCATCAGCAGTAAAGAGTAACAGTGAAAGCTCTCCTAATGTTTTATTTATCAGCACTTCTGTTTTGTTTTTGTTAAATTAAATAAGTGGTTTATGTTGTACTGACCAACGTCTGACCTTGAACACGCTGCTATGGTGTTTGTAAGAGTCAAATACTGTGTGATGCGTTGTTTACGACAGGTATAGCTAACAAACGCTTACAACGGCTAATGACAGCTGGCAACCGCTAACAACAGCTAATAAAAACCAAAAATAGCTGACAACGGCTAACAATAGTTGACAACCGCTGACAACAGCTGAGAATGGCTAACAACAGCAAACAATCGCTAATAACAGCTGGCAATGGCTTACAACAACCGACAACGGCTAACAGCTAACAACAACTGACAACAGCCAATGACAGCTGGCCACCACGAACAACAGCTAATGAAAACCAACAGTAGCTGACAATGGCTAACAACAACCGACAATGGCAAACAACAACTGACAACAACTCACAATGGCTAACGACAGCTGACAACGGCTAACAACAGCTGAGAACAGCAAACAACAACTGGCAACGGCCAACGACAGCTGGCCATCACTAACAACAGCTAATATAAACCAACAACAGCTGACAATGGCTAACAACAGCAAACAACAGCTAATGACAGCTGACAACGGCTCACAACAACTGACAACAGCTAACAATGGCTAACCGTAGGCGTCCATCTTGGTTTTCCGACTTGTTTACTGGAATGTCGTCAACTTGGATGTTAAGTTATCCCCAGATCCAACTTCCGAAGTAACTTGAACGCAACATTATTAAATAAAAAATTGAGGGTAATCATATTCTGAATCCCCCAAAGAAAGGACACTACGACACGGGGTGGAGTTGCGTACAACATTTTGCGGGTTTTGCGGGTTAGGTGTTTCTAATTCAGTTAGTCCACGCTACACAAACTCAAAACTTCCATACAAAACCCCGACATTTGAAGAGTTTTAAAAACTTCCCCCACACAGCCCCCAAAGAGGACATATGGTCACCCTAAAAAAGTATGTATACAACATGTGTATGTCTTCACACTGAGCATTTAGGTCTTCACTCTGAAGTGGATGGTGAGCAGCTGTCAGACGTCTGAGCGTGTTTGAGGCGTTTAGTCACCAAAACCAGACAGCGTGTTCCAGGTGAGGGCCGCAGATGATTTCATGTAACACAGCAGGCACATGCAGCAGATGTCGTCCAAATGAAGCACCAGCTTTAGAGGCAGAGGGGTCAGCGTGTTTTCCAGTGGTGTCCCGTTGCACGTCTGGGTTTCTTGAATAATTAATTCAATGTGTGTCCCGCTACTTTTAGAGGAAAGTGTTGCTGAAATAATCTCAACACATTTCCACCCAATTAGCTCATTCTGCCGCGCATGAGCTCTTGTGAGGAGTTATAACGCCGCGGGGCTACGAGGTGGAAAACAAACTGTGATGTTCGTGCCAAACAAACACTTACAGAAGAGCGTGACATCAGCATAAGTATTAGTTTAATGTAGCGAGTGTAGCACTCGCTGAAAACACAAGAGGAACTACTTCAGGATCTGGAAGTCCTGGTTATACGACTATTGAATTTTACAACCGAAATACATTTTTTTACTGCATTACTGAGAACCTGCACTTCTCAGGGACACACCACTCTTTAACAGTAAGATTTGAGATCATGATACTTTTCATTTCTACTTACAAGAAGTGGACTTACTGGAAACTTGTCCAAATGAAATCTACACCTACAGGAAATCAGACAGAATAAAAGAGGGGAAAAAAACGGATCCATTTGTTCTTTTGTCAATAGTTTCAAACTCCTGAGAGAGTTTTTCACAGAAATAATGTGACAGAGAGAAATGAAGGCCCCGTGTCTTCTTTTGGCTCGACACAGAGGAGGTAAAGTGGTCATTGATTTGGATGTTCGCTGTTATCTCACTTCTACAAACCGTTGTCTGCATTCACAGTTTGAGGTTAAAACTGCACTAGACAAAAGGACAGTCAGATATACAGTATACAGGATCCAGAAATGACAGATACTCCTCCATGTCATGAACCAAAGCACAGACTGGAGGACACAGTAGATGCTTTTACATGGGCAGAAATAATCGGAATAAAGGCCTGATCCGAATAAAAAAGCGTCATGTAAACATGTGGTTTATGATGATTGTTGAACTGTTGTTCTGATCGCGACTCTCTAACCTGACTTCACTCTTTAACCTTCGGCTTATTTATTAAGGTCAGTACAGGTTTCTCTATTAACACTCTGGCATAAAAAAACAACCACAGGTGCCGTGTCTGCTCCTCTGATAACATAACAAGGCGTACATAAAGCGTACTGATGTCACATCTGCACGCACAGTGCAACCTTTGACAGAACGGTAAAAAAAAAAAAAACAGAATGGTGTTGGCCACTACCACGTTTGTCACGTCATGTTCGGATTATTTGATTTTGCACCCATATAAACAGTGGATTCAGATTTTCAGATCCCTCAAATTTTTTCCCTCAAACATGTAAACATGGCTAACAGCACGACACCAATTCAGCTTTGTCAAACAGACAGGGTTTAATGACGTTCAGGCAAAGGTCGGTACACAAAGAGGTGGTCAGGTCAGGCAGAGGTATCAAAAACGTGAGGCAAAAGGCAGGCAAAGGTAAAACATGAATAAACGCTGGATTGGGACAAAAAGTGCAACGGACTGGTGAGGAGACAGTGAGGCACACAGGGTTAAATATAAGAGGTAACGAGAGTGATGGGAAACAGGTGGGGAGACACAATCAGGCGGCAGGTGTGACAAGACGGGGGCGGGGCAGACCAGACAGGAAATAATCAAGGGTTAGAGAACTACAAAATAAAACAGGAAATGCCTGACATGAAACAAAACATGAATGTGCAGAAATAAAGGAAACTTAACCAACATGAATGTACTCAAAAATAAAGGAGAAACTTGACCGACATGACACTCCAGGCCTGAACTCACTATCCTGTGATTTCAAGATTACAACATTACAACATACAACAGCATGGCTCTGTAGTAGAAGAGTCCAGATGCTGAACTGGCCTGTTGCCTATGTAATAGGGTAACCATATTCTGAATCCCCAAAAAGAGGACATTATTACACAAGGACAGAGACACGCGCAGTTAATTTTGAGTTTTGCGGGTCGGATCGAGTGTTTTTTACGCGTTTCTAACTCAGTAAGTCCACGTGACACAAACTCAAACTTCCACACAAAACTCGGACATTTGAAGGATTTTATAAACTCCCCCAAGACAGGCCAGACAGCCCCCAAAAAAGAGGATGTAAAAAGAGGACGCAAGGTATAATCTTCTTCATAATCTGATGTTTCTCACGGTGTCGTAACTTTTTTTTATTATTCAGGGTTGCATACACAGTAGGTGAGATCTGTGCAGATATGCAAGACTGTGCAAGATAATGCAACAAAGATGACAGTATAAACAGAGATGCTGCTTCATGTTTTAATGTATTCTGTATGAATTTCCTTAATCCATTGTGCTTAGAAAAAGAAGAAGAAAACATTCTCTGTTAATCCCTGAGAGAAATTCAATTCTTCACTTTGATATTCAACATGCTACACACACACACACACACACACACACACACACACACACACACACACACACACACACACAAAATAATGGAGAGATGGCTCTCTTCAGATAGGAGGGTCGGTGCCTTCTCAAGGTCACCTCAGTGGTTTCCAATAAGTGAAGTGGTCCCTCCTCAACAAACCAGTTCAACACTCAGAGCTGAGGTAGAACCTCACTGGTACCTGGTAACCCTAACTCCACCAGAACCAAGTCCAAATGCACTGATTCCCACACATGTGCAGCTTGCAGCACATGACTTGGATGAACCACCTTCTTAAACGTTGCATGTGTTCTGATAAATACACAGTTCTGCTCAATTAGAAACCAACAGTGCATTAAAAATGAACCTATATGTGAAAATATTTGAAATGCCTTCTTTCTTATTTCAATTTTAATGAAAAACTAAAGAGGCAGATTAGTTTAGTTAGAGGCCCTGATTCAGCTCATAGTGTGCCAGTTTAATAGGCCTGTTTCTCTGACTCTCTGACAAATACTCCCCCTTTTCTCGCCTGCATCCCACCACGTCTCCTCCCAGAACTCCTCCAGCCTCGGGTCCTGCTCTTTTACACCCCTCACTCTGCCAATGTTGGATGTTATTAGAGACTAAACTGCGAGTAAAAATTTTATTGTACAGGAATTGTAGTAAAAATAAGTCACAAAAACTTGATTTTTACGCCTAACTGCCGTAACACAGCTCAATCTGCATTCCTCAGATGTTCCAGGAAATCCGAGTCTCCTGATTCCCCGGCGGTTCTGGAGGTGTTCGATCAAAGTCTCGTGCCCCTGGAGCTTGACGACCTGGCCGTGACCGACATTAACCCGTTCAGGGGAACACAAACCGAGCATATGGATTCCATATGGGTCATTTTCTCAGGCTGTTTCTACACAGATGATGAACGCCCTCCCTCTAACAGCCCTTGAATAAACTCCCTGTCTCTCTAAATGACCCGCCTTTGACAAAGCTGGGCTCAAACACAGAGCCAAACCCGCCAAATGCTCTCACTACGGGTCAGCTCTAATTGTTCAGGGTGAGAAAATCTGGCTTAGTGTTTCTTGCTTTGGAACAAAATTAAGAGTGAGTGGTCCAAGATTGATTTTATAGCGTGAGGGCAAAACCTGGTAAAAATGAGCCGAATGGCTGCAGGATTTTTCTTCTCTTGTGATGTTTTGCTCTTTTAATTGAGGACATAAATTCTTCCAAATGCAGAACATGTTTTTCTGAAGCTATTCTGCTGTTTAATAAATCTAATATCTGCACGTTAGGCTGTTTTTAGGAGTGTATTGTTAGAGTTATTGCATGCCAGCGTCAGCCTGCAGCATGACTCGACTGTCATGGCCCTCCACTTGTTTTCAAGAGGGGCCAAAAGGTCCCCCTCCTCATTCATCAGGAGACGCATGCCATCCAACAAAGTGCTGCATATGGAGGAAAATGTGCAAGCGAGGCAAATCAAGAGGAGGTGCTCGAGCTGCAAACATGCTTTGTGATCTACAATCGGGTGGTGCTGTCAGAAATCGGATGATCAAAACAGATAGGATGCTGAGTGCTTTCCAACCTGAGACATTCATCTGAGCGCAGAGGGGGAGGGGAGACGGGAGAAGAAGGTACATCTGCCACCATTAGTTCTTACCTCCATCATTCAAATTTGCTTTTCCACTTTCATGTCTCACGTACAGATCCAGGGTTTGCTCCCACAAACAATGTTGATGTGTGTTTTCTTACAAGGGAAAAAAGAAAAAAAAAAAAACACATCTTGTTTTGATGTTTAATTCTCATCACGAAATCCCCAAGCACGGCTTCCCAGGAAACATTCAAAGCTGACAAATGGAAAGCTGAGAGGCTCATATATTTTACATCACTCTGATTAAGAAGGAGAGTTGTGTATTTAACTAGGGAACACTATAAACAAACAAAAACATGGCGGCATAGGTTGTAAATTCGGAGGGTCTATTTTCAGCGCCCCTGTTCCCAGCAGCAGCAAAAGCTTAAATATTTTGTTCAAAATGATGTAATGAGAGGCTCGGTTACAGCTCTCTTACTGCTCGGATCCTCCCAGCTGAATCATCACAATCCAAGCAGACATCTGGTTATTGTAGAAGTTACATAGGAAGAGACGCAAAGTACGAGTCCTAATGCGAATCTTGGCAAGAACCGACCCCAGAGAGGAAACCGTTACACCGGCCTCGAACAGCAGAGAGGATCTGAGCTCTCACTTTGGATTCTAGGTCGGTTTAAATCAGTATGTTTCTGTGTTTTGGAGTTCAGACTGGCGTCTTTTTCATAGCAACCAAGGTCGAGGCTCATGGGTATTGTCAGCTCGTTGTCACTCTTAACTTGCCAAGCACAGCAGCTTGGTCGGACGCCCGCTGCTTCAAGCTGTGACGCGGTTGGTACTCATTAGATGTTATTCCTGGATACTCCGCGTGTGAGTTGTTATGATGTGCCACCAAAGTTCAGTGATGTTGTACTAAAAAGTAATAAAAATGATGTATGAGGAGATTGGATGTGTGTGGATGAGTTAAAAGTGACTTTCAAAGAGGAGACTAAAGTTTATCTGCGTAAAACTAAGAGAGCAACTTTGATTTCAGTCTTAGAGTCGATTTAAAGCTCCTGTCAGGAGTTTTTTGACATCAGTGACATAGATTGAGATTCATGTTGAGACTTTTTTATGATACACAAAAGCAAACAAGACCATCAGGAACAGGACTGACATCTTCTATGAGCAGTGTTTTCAATCTAAGTTGAGCTCTTAACATAAGACTTCATAGGGAGCTTTGAAAGGTAGCCTCTAGTGGTGACCCCAAGAACTGCAGTTTTTGCCCTTAAGCTTTAGCTTTGCATTGCTGTGTGTCCTCACTAACATGGTTAAAAGAAACAAGAAACAAAAAGGAAATAATGCTCCACACAGACTCAAGAGACCCCTCCAAGATTCCCTTAGTACCTCTTCTTGGGGAGGTCGTACTAAACTGAAGACTTCACAGACCCGAATATAAGACAGACTCTTCTTCCCTGTAAATATACCTTCAAAAAAGTGGGATCATTATAGATTAAGTCGGGTGACCATATTCTGAATCCCCAAAAAGAGGACATGACTATGTGGGGGCGGAGTCATGGAGTCGCGCATAGTTAATTTTGAGAGTTTTTTGAGTCGAGTGTTTTCTTCCAAACTTCCATACAAAACCCCGGACATTTGAAGGATTTTATTAACTCCCCCGGACAAGGCCAGACAAGATTCATCCTATTCATCACACCAATACTTGGGTTCTTCATTTGCACTTGAATTTAATTTTGACAAATTTACTTTAAGATTCTGAAAAAAATACATCAAAGATGTAAAAACATGAATTTTATCATTAATTTAAATGAAAACAGTTTCTATCAAAACAAGATCTGGTAACTGAAAAGACTCAACCTGAAACTTCGTTTTACATTTGGGTCAGTATGATTCAACTTTACAGACTTATTGCAAAGTCTCTTTAAATAATTCAGTCAACAATAGATAGACTTACCAAAAGAATAATGAAAGCTACAACCATCAGGAAACAACCTCACACTTTAACTCACCGCTGTCACGATAAAAGAAAACGCCTTATCTTCACGAGCCCAGCGTGAGATCTCACCTTGTATCCCAACGATGAACTCCGACTAAGTCAAGATATTCCCAGGATTTTGACATGTTCAACATTTAAGAGGAAAACAATCCAACACAAACACCTAAAGGCTAAATGAGGAGACTTCAGACAGTTTGAGGAGGTGTTAGGAGAAACTCTGGAGCGCTCACTGGACTCAAACCAGAGTCAGATCGTTTTTTAGTCTTTTCATCTTAAACTCAGAGTCATTAACGAATAAAAGGTGGAAAAACTCAATACGAGCTGGCTTATAAACTCAGTCACTTACAGACGAAACGTTCATAAAGTTCATTCAAACAACATATTTGTACTCCTGTCTCAGAACTATTTACTGTCTCTGTCCCTCCAGATGAGCCGTTTAGACTCAGAGAAAGAGGAAATCCAATCAGAGAGGATGGTACGCAGCTAATCAACTATGAAGGCTTCTTCCATTTGGACCGTAAGGCGCTCCATTCCCGCAAAGGTCACCTCTGTTTCGTCCTTGTGTGACCGCAGGGAAAGAAACGAACATGTTTTCCTCACAGAAAGGTCTCTATGAATGCAGACTTATGTCTTTACTGTTCAAAGCTTTGGAGATATTTGCAACTTTTCCAAGAGAGCGCTCGAGTGATCACGAGGTGAACGGTTTGAAACGTGGCATTTTTAACTCAGGACAATCAAGTAGATCTCACTGTGGACAGTTTCCGTGAACAATTACTGTAGCACGTTAGCACATCTGTGTAACAAACTTCAACTAAACTTATTTAAAGCTTCTTTGAGGGACTTTTAGTTTGTGCAGTCTCTTCTTATCTTGTCCTTTACATGATGAGGTAGTTTGTTTTGACAAATGATCTCCTCCTGACGATTTTTGACGGTCAAATGAGAATTCATAAAACATGGCTGTCTTTTCAGCTGCTTGGCCGACACCTACCCCATCATACTACTTTCATGCATTAACGATGACAATATAAGAATTGTTAATTTTGTTGCTGATGGCCTGTTTTACTTTTTTATATCATTAAAAGGAAGCAACATGAATTTCAGTTTCTTTCATTAACCTCAAAAAACACCTCTCTGGAGCTTTAACTGACTTTAAACAGAATTATTATTATACCAGTTTTGTTCATTTTGACCAAGATTACATTTGCATCAAGTTTTATGTTAATTTCTTTAACGATTTTTTTTACATGGGAGAAAAAGGAAGAAAAAAACAGACTCTCTGTTCGCAGCTTTCACATTTCAGCTTAGTGAACAGCTGCACAGAACAGGCTCCCCCTACTGGAGAAAACTGGAAGTTTACAATAATCGACAAAACCTAGGCTGTTTTCGAATTTGCCGACTATACTAGCAGTACGTACTGATTTCCCCAGAATTTAGTATGCAGTAGGCGAACAAAAATTGGGGTGACCATTCGTCCTCTTTTACCCAGACAAGTCTTCTTTTTTGGGGGGCTGTCCAGCCTGTCTGGGGGAGTTTATAAATTCCTTCAAATGTCCGGGGTTTTGTATGGAAGTTTTGAGTTTGAGTAGCGTGGACTAACTGAGTTAGAAGTACATAAAAAACACTCGACCCGACACGAAAAATCCTCAAAATTTACTATGTGCGACTCTGTGACTACGCCCTGTGTAGTCGTGTCCTCTCTTTGGGGATTCAGAACATGGTCACCCTACAAAAATACCCTTAATGACGTACTGATTCGGGAAAATTTCACAGCAGCATCAGACCAGTCTGCTTCACCTACTCATAATGCAATCACGTTTCACAGAACATGTTTTGATTTCTGGTACTGGGGTAAAAAGTCCTGAAAAACCCAAACACATATCAAACTTTTTCAGAGAGTAAAGGAATGGGCAACACTGTAGTGTCGTTTAAATTTACCGAGCTACGATCTACTTTTCCACACCGGAAACCAGCTAAACTGGGCCGAGCATACGACACAATAAAGGCCGACTTGACAGGAGTGTGCAGTAGGTGAATTCGAAAACGGCCTTCAATTAAACCAAATGACCACCTTTATGGACATGTTTTGACCAAAGTGGCACATTCACTGTTTAACGTCATCCCTTTTTCCAGCATGTATGTTATTTTAAACCCGGCTGTGAATGAGACTGATTCAGCGCTCACTTCTCATATCCACTACATTTCCTGGTACCAGATGACCCCGGGGTGAGGGGGCAGGGTTTGATCGGATAGAAGGTCCTGAGCTGGAATTAACCCCAGACGAGACTGCTGAGAAACAACCTTCCATATTTTCAAGACCGTGCAGAAAAGTCAGTGTTTTTTTCTGTTTGTTTTCTGAGCAGAGGTGAAACAAAACTATCCGCTCTGTTCAGCGTTTTGCTCCCCACAGCTTTTCCACTTCAGCCTTATTGTTGCCATTATTGTCAATTAGCTCGACATATGGCTCATGGAATATGACTAACAACGGCGCGTTATGTAATCCGCATAAAGACCAGATCATTGTCAGAGATTAGTCATGAGGCTGGAGATGGGATGGCCGGGTCGCTGCCTCCCTCTGTCTGTCTGTCTCGAGGCTTCGCCGGTATCAAAGAGCAGGATCTGCTGCGTCTAATGGAGACTCGCTTCGGCTTCTGGGAAATCTTCTCGTCTTTGATTGTTTTTGTCCTCATAAATACCCGTTCTGAATTAAATTATTATGCCATGAGTCATGTCACCCACCGGGGTCGGTTACCGTAGCCTGATTGCTATCCTTCCTTTGCGCAAGAGAGTCAAGATTTATTTACCAAAGCTGTAGTTTAATTAAATGTGTTTATGTTTTAATTCTGTCTGTTATTTTATCCTCTCAGGTCCCAGAAATAAAAACAAGTTTCCATGGCGGATATGTTGGAAAAATATGTTCGCAGACAATAAGAGTTTTGTTGGGATGAAATATTCGATGTTGCTCTTGATTGTGAGTACCCGTGCGCCGGTCCTTGCAGCGTAATGATTTGTTTACGCGTGTGTCAGTGCTCGCGGTGGGCTGACAGCTCGGGAATGTGCTGTCTGTTATGAGACACAGGCGCTGCTCTTTCTTGTCAACATTCCTCCTGAACCACGTGAAAAAGAGAGCCGGTACTTTCTTGTCTTGTCACTTTGAAGAATGGCTCTCATTTTTGGGGTTGATAATGCGGCGTCAAAATCTTTATAAATCACTGAGTTTCACCTTTCCGAGGAGTCAAGTAGCTCTGCTTTATGGGAAAGTGAGTGCCGCGCTGTCGCTCTGAACTCAGGAGATGATTTTCAGCCCTCTCTTGTTCAGTAAGAAATAATGTTTGACTTATTAAAGAAATTCTGTCACACTTGAGGCGAACCTGGACTCACCTTTTACAGGTTATCAGAGTGAAAAGTAAAACTGAGTCGCTGTTAGAGGTTATGTCAAACAATGGGCAATAAATCAAGTCGATAACAGAATGAAAAACTACAGATTTACTTCACAAACTATCACATATTTACATTTACATCTTATGAAAGAACTCAAGTCTTCGTATTACAAGAAAATGTAATCAGGTTAAGACCGCAGTCATCCGACCTCTGTTGATGACTTTGACTGGGATGTTTTATTTTGATTTTTCTTGCCAGGAAAATTGAATCCAAGTCTTTCTCCGTCAGAGGGTCTTGGACCTGTTTTCAATGTTCCTGTAAATCCGTGTAAAAGGGTCTGAAGAAGCTGGAAGTCATAAAGCAAAAATAATGATCATAACAAAGTTAAACTGCTGAGACTCTTAATGATGCATGTATGTACTCTGAGTTTACCAGCTTTGATCTTATTATTATTATTTTACTGATTCAATATTAAAGCCAATCAGAGAGAGAGAACAGGGAGGCACCATAAATCGTTGTTGTTGGCGTTTAAAGCTCCTGTGAGGGACTTTCTGTTTCTCTTGGGTTTGGCGCCCCCTCTGGACAAACTGATACTGATAGAAACTGGTTTATTAACTCATTCAGTGCCATCGACAGATTTTGACGGATGTTTCAGTTTTTTTGTTTTCCACCAGAGGGCGCTCCTCCCCAACATGCGACTAAGTTTGGGGTTGTTTTGAACGCAGAAAAAACGACAAATACGCCATGACCAGGTGACAATAACAAAAACAAGTACTCGTGAGTAAGGAGTGTGCCATCAAGTGTGCTCATTAGCCGAGTTGTGGAGTGTTTTTTCTCTATAAGGAGAATCGGAAAATGCCAAAGTCATTAGCCAAGAGCTAACAGTCTCGGCGCATCAGCTCCCGCGGTGCTACAATCTCTGGATCCAGTGGAGATCTCGGTCCCGGACCTTCACATCGTCAGCAGACAATCAAAGAAACAGTTTTCCAGCGTGTTGTTGTGCAGCAACAGTCCTGGAGAGGGGGACGCCAGCAGTCTGTTTGGTTTATGTTGCGGCGTCAGGTTTTTGAGAGCCAATATGACTCCCAGCCATCACAAAGTGACCTATCACGATCCAATCTGGAGAGTGATGAGGAGTGGTGTCCGTGGAGGGAGGACCTTGATGCCATCAGTAAAATAGTTTAAAGTGAAATGAAATAGACGATCAGAGTTCTGCTTGAAAGTCTCTCCTTTGTAAAAATGTGTTTTTCCCAGGTCGACAAAGATAATATGACCACGCTGCTTTAATCAGGCAATAACTAAACACAGGAGTGGGTTGGAGACTAACTTTTTGAATGAGTTAAAGGCCCTGGGAAGGTATCCACTGTTCTGTCAAACTGAGGCCAAAAAGCCCCAAAATCAATCTTAAAAAAAGTAGGAACTAAACATTTCCACAGTCTAACATAAATCTGGTCCTGCTCGAGGTTTCTGCCTGTTAAAGGACGTTTCTCCTCTCTACTAAATGCTGCAAAGTGTTTTGAATGGGATGAGAGTGGGTCTGATCCAACACAGACAGGGATCAGTCTGATCCCAACAGAGTCTGGTCTACACAGGCTTTTCTCCCAGCTCTCTCCATCTCCAAATAAAGGCAGAAAACTTCTAAATCAAAGTTCTCAAGTGAAGCTTTGACTGGTCCGGTCCGGTACGTACATGCGCTCGGTTGACTGGAAATCTCAGGCCTATTAAGCTCATTACATGAATAAAATCTTATCTGCTGTAATCTTTAGTCTGGCTTTAAATTGCAAGGTTAGTCCACTTACACAATAAGGAAGCCTGTCCATTGAAACCCTGCCATCTCCCATTGACTCTGCCATTACTCAACCTTCAGATAAGGATCAGCGGTCAGGATCAGCCGGATAAAGATGGAGAACGACATTATTGGACCGTGTGAATAATTGAAGAGCCTGCAGTCAATTTCCGGAAAAAAAGGAGACGTAAGATTGTGGCGGTGACTGTCCTTAACGGCGGCAGTGATGATGTGGGCTTCCACCTGAGACACAGGCGTCTGCCTTGGCTACTGTGCTTACGCTGTGTGAAAGAGGACAGGTGGGGCGTCCATCATCCGTGCAGAAAGGACAGGGGAACCTTTAAGTCAGCAGGATCCATTGTTCAATGAAGGTCAGCGGTAAGGTGAAAATGAAATAGGGCCACACTAGGGAGAGTGATAATAGCAAATCACGGTGGAGGTTTCTGATTCGCTGCCGCGCACTTCATCACGCTCTCCCAACGAGCACTCCACTTCTGCTTCAGACAAGGTGACACTGTTCAAATCTGGCAGCGAGTAGTCTCTGAAAACTAATCTAAAGGTTATGGGAGTTGAATTCACTCGCAGTAGGAGGAACATGACTTATGTAGGAGTCATCACAGTTGATGGTAAAAGTACCCACCCATCCATCTAACCCACCAGAAAACACTCCACACGGTGATTTTCCACCAACATCAGGCCGCTGTTTCCAGTAAACCCTCCTCTGAGATAGCCTCTGTTTGGACCAAGTGTTTTTATCCTGAATCATGTGGATAAACACATCTGTTCACACATTACTGGATATCAAACAGGTCGTTCACTGTAACCACTTACAATGAGGCGTTTTACCCATATTATACGTTACATTTCTGTCTCTGTGCTTCAGAGCAGATAGAGTCGTTTCTTTTTTAATTTAAAAAGTTAGATGTTAACCGCACATTAGAGACCGAGCTCAATGGGGTGAATATTTAAGACTTATTAAATTACAACGGCATGCACACCTGGAGAATAATCCAGCTCCAATGATGTAAAAATCGCTCTTACCACCTTAAATAAAGTCTTCAAATGATATTATTTTGTCAGAGCTGATAAAATTCTGTTTTTATTTCAGTCCAGGTGCCAAAAGTTGTGGTCGATCCATGTCAGTGTTACAATGCACATTAAATCCAATAGCCAAAGAGGCCCATCTATAAAAAGACAAGTCACCAATCATAGTTAAGGGTTTTTTTGTTTTGTTTTCTTTTTTTTTTTTGTAACATGTTCTGCGACATATAACCGAAATCGTCAAATAAAGCATTTGTAGCCAGATGCATCCTCCACCAAAGCTCCAAACTGCTTTTAAAAACATTCAGGGAGACCAGATCCATTTAAAACTATTTTTTTTCCTGCAGTAAAATCGAAGTTGCAGGAGCAGTTCACCTAAAACTACCCGTTTCAAGACACACTCTGGGGGCAGACAGTAAGACCAAGTCCTGAGTCT